AAGACAACTAAAAGAGGAAGAGTTTTCGAAGCTAACCAAGGGTGCCTCCTTGTTAGGGGAGTCGGCATACGACTGTTTCATGAGCGAGGCCCGCAATATGGCCGCTGCAGTCTTGGATGCTGTTATTTTACTCATGGCGTCAGCTGCAAGAAATAAACAGCAAAGTTAGTAAAAATCCCAAGTAAACAAGGCGTGAAAAAACAGAGTATTTGTCAGGTCGGCTACCTCTAGAGCACCGACTGCTGAGGCCACATGCGGCCAAAAAGTACTCGTCATAGAGCCACTTGAAGCTCGGGACGCAGTTTAGGGGTACTTGCTCTCGTACCCCTGAAGTAGAGTTCACCCTAGTCTCTACTTTGAAGAGTCCTTTGTCTAGGATCTCTTTTTTAGCCTTTGGGGGAAAAGGCGGCATGCTGCGGCCGCCTGCGAGAAGAGGCAGATCCCTATTCCACTTGTTAAAACGTTTGTTCAGCTCCGTGTCTGAACCCTCGATAATAAGGAAGGTGTTCCGCCAATCCTTCCATTTGTTCGCCTTACCTCTCGTCATGAGGTAACCCCTATGGCTTGTTAATTGATACCAGCCGGTACCTCCCGACTTAGGGGTCCGGCTGAGATAGTTCATGTGGGCGAAAGCCTCAAAGCTTGGCTCCACCCCGTTCATTTCGCACCCGGCCACATAGCCGAGTACGTTTACCCAAGAGTTGGGGGCTAACTGCCATAACCCCAGATCATACCCATCTAAAATCCGCTGAACAGCCGGATGTAATGGGAAGCGCAGTCCAGCTTTGATGGCCGCCACATAGCAGCCAAAGCAGCCGTCACCATAGCTGGTACCAGCCGGCCAGACGACAGTGTCTTCTGGATCCGGCACGAACAGTAAAAATTCCGGGCCCATTTTGTGGTTAGCAATAAAGCTCGCCACGTTGTCTTGCATGGTTGCGATCCGGCCCCGGGGTACCCTGCAGTAGTAGGGGGCGTTTTCCTCTCTGTAAGAGGCGGACGGCTCCGCCCAATTGTCCCCCTTCTCAACTGCATGAGAACGTCTCGCCTCTTGTAGGCGGCTATGTTTTTCTTCTGAGCCAGGAGAACTGTGGCCAGAAGAGCTGGACTCGGACTCGTCCTCTGACGAGCCCGAAGAGGACGACTCCTCCCCTCTCCTAGAGGGGCCCGCCTCCTCTCCCTTAGAAGGAGCAGGAGGGAAATTAGACATGTCAACGGTAAGATGGGAAGGGACCACCTTCGCCCCTCTCTCAGAACTGTCGGCTTGACAGTCGCCTCGTTTCAATTCTACATCTGGCGCCTGGTCAGATGTTTCACTAAGGAGCACCCTTTGGGAGGAGCCGTCTGAGTTTGATATCATAGCAGTCTGTTTTGTTCTGGCCATCACGTTCTGCATAGACACAGATACAGTCGGACTTTGTATAAAGAGCAAAGATGGGTCCAGAACAGGGCAGGCGGCACTCCTAGTCCTAGATTCAGCCGTCCCCGGTGACCGGCTGATCACTAACTTAGGTCGTGTCGTGTGCTTCCGTGGTGCCATTTCAAAAAATAAAAAGAAAATTAAGAGTAAGAGAACTGAGTTACCTGAACGAGTGACGGTTGATGAAGTCCTGGAAGTTCGGGTCAGTCGGCTTGTCAGAACAGGCGGTAGGCAGAAAAGGTCCGAAATGTCAGAGCAAGTTCAGGGGTCCGAATGTTCTCGCAAAGTTCTCAAATGTGAAAATGACCGAAGTCAGCACTTCCTTATATAGGCAAGGTGAGAAGGCGAAAGGTCGCTTCCAAATTCAAAATGTGGGCGGGAAAATCTCTCGGCCGTTTGCAAGATGACACCTGTAACAGGCCGTCGCCTGTCACCGTGCGACACCTGTCACAGGCGACACGTGACCAGTCACGTGCCACTTGTGAGGGGCAAATGATTAGGGGATTTTTATCCACCAATCACCGTCTGACAAGTGGACCAACCAGGTTCCGCCACGTGTCCTTCACGAAGGCCAACAGGAGCCTGCCACGTGTCAATCACAGATACGTCCTCTACGGACCAATTTAGACGCGCCACGTGTCCACCCATGCCAAATGGGAAAACCGGCCATCAAGGCCCAACTCAGTCTAGAGGCCCGATCAGCCCTAGGTTTACCTTAAACCTAGAGAGTGGCACGCTTCTCAAGGCTATAAATACTCAATTAATCCTCATTAATTACAGAGTGAAAAAGTAATCAAGCAGAGAAGAACAGAGTTATTACGGAACATCAACAACCGGCTAATCTCGCTAACGACGCAGATTACCAACACTAAGCACTCTCACCTAGAGAGATCTTATTACTTTAATTTCCGTATTAATTACTCCTTAATCAGGTACTAACTTGACCGTTGGAGGCGGAGCTCTCAGGAGTCTCCGTTATTTTGCAGGTACAGGCGTCCGGTTCCAGTCTCGGAATTGTAACTCTCCCGCAGGACATCAGAAAACCCCGAAACACAACTCATCCGGCTATGATCAAATATCTTCAGGTCGTCAAAGAAAAGGCCGGGACACTTGAAGAATTCCACTTGAGTCAAGTCCCTAGGTCAGACAACAATCAGGCGGATGTATTTTCCAAGCTAGCCTCCTCCGCCTGCTGTGACACACCTCGGTCAGTCTTTTGGGAAGTTCTAGAAAAAAGAAGTATACATGAAGAGCCCATTGGAATTCTTCACTGAAGTTCCACCTAGATGGACGGCATCCGGGCGTACCTTACTGATGGAATGCTTCCGGACTCACCCCAGGAGGCGGCCATCCTGAAAAAGCGAGCTGCAACCTTCGACATGAGAAACGGAGAACTCTTCAAGGCTGGTTTCCTTAAGCCTCTGTTGAAGTGTGTTACCCCAGAGAAGGGGAAGGAGATTCTCGAAGACCTACATGCGGGGTTCTGTGCCTCCCATATAGGCGGCAGGTCTTTGGCTGTCAGAGCCAGACGACATTACTTCTGGCTAACTCTTGAATCAGATGCCATAGAAATGGTTAGAAAATGTGACAAGTGTCAAAGGTTTGGCAAAATGATCCACCGTCCGGCTACTGATCTGACGGCAATCCACAGCCCGGTCCCGTTTGCTAAATGGGGCATGGACATCCTTGGTCCTTATACGCCTGCTCCAGGCGGAAAACACTACATTCTGGTGGCTGTGGATTACTTCACCAAGTGGGTGGAGGCAGAGGCGGTCAAGAACATCAAGACAAAGGATGTCATCTCTTTCATTTGGAAGAACATCATCACCCGGTTTGGGGTACCTATGTCTATGGTGTTTGACAATGGCCCTGAGTTTGAAACACCTCAACACACAACTTAGTTGGGAGATCAGGGAATATCCAGCTACTTTGCTTTAGTTGGCCGACCCCAAGCAAACGGCCAAGTTGAAGCTTTTAACAAGCTCATCTCAGAAGGCATAAAGAAGAAAATTGAAAGAGTCGGTGGTCTATGGGCAGAAGAATTAATTCATGTCCTATGGGCCATCTGGACTTCTACAAAGGGGGCAACCGGCGAAACCCCATTCCTCATGGTTTATGGTGTTGGGGCCGTCTTGCCCATTGGGCGCTATGAGCCAACTCTAAGAGTCATGCTATATGATGAAGAGGTAAATTGGGAGGCCACGCGGCTTGCATTGGACTCCCTCCCAGAACGTAGGGGCAATGCTGCCCTGCGCCATGAGATATACCGTCTAAGAATGACCAGGGCCTACAACACGAAAGTGCACAAGCGTCCCTTGAAAGTGGACGATCTTGTGTTGCGAAAAATGGAGGCAACCGGTAGGGCGAATGAACTTGGAAAGTTAACTCCCAATTGGGAAGGTCCCTACCGGATCTATGAAGAAGTAAGAGACAGCACCTACTGCCTGGAGACACCAGACGGTAGGCGGCTGCCCAAAACTTGGAATGTAGACAATCTTAAAAGTACTACTTCTAAGCATTGTAAATTTTTTGTAAATAGTAAGCCTATGAATGAAAAATTTGCTTCCTGTTTTCAAATTATGTTTTTAAAGTATTTATCATGTTGTTTACTTAAAATACATGCGCCCTAATATGTTAGCTATCTGCTAGAGAAGCAGATATAACCGTTTGATCCGTATAGATCTAAATAAGAGGCCAATGGCCAGAGATCAAACTAAGCACAAAAAGGCTTAGTGGCTATACAACCGCCCTTCAAACGGGGCATGAGGCTCTAAGCCGGATGGTTGGACATTTTATAAATTCACCTGCTCCAATGCGAAACATGGCGTCCAGCGACGCCCCTTTGGGTGTTATTGTCGCAGAGAGCGTTCTATTGTCTGCTCTACCAACACATACAAACGGCAAAGATTGAACGGTCTGATCGACCAACTCATAGCCGTATGTCCCTAGTAACTTGAAGAACGAATCGGTCTTATGAAACCGGATGGTCATTATATCACCCGGCTATTGACCCAAGTTTTAACTCAAGTTACTCCTAGAAATTATACAATCTCCCTAAATGGGGCAAACAGGCTAAGTATAATTAAAAAATTTTTGTGATTATCAACCTACACAGACGGACCGGTTCTAAAATTGGCCCTAGTAGGATAGATTAAACCTGTTAAAGGCACCTGAGGATGCCTGGAAAATACAAGTCTGACTGCTATCGTGATAAAAGAATATCAAGCGGAGCAAACAAATTTTACATTCTAATTCATGCACCTGTAATATTTGTAGCATGACTAGTCATCCAACCATGACATTAAGGTCGAAAGACCGCCTGCATTCAGCACCGTCTGATCATATGACCGGCTGTGTGCTTGGCTTGGGGCAATCACCTTAGTGATTGATTGGCCTAGAAATAGTCATACCCTTCTGGGTATCACCAATTTTCAGTTAATCAACCAATTTGTAAATCAAAGCGCACAGCCGTCCAAGGGCAAAACATCCGGTACGCCATAAGCATCTGGTATGCCATACCTATCAAGCCCAAATTCAAATGCAAAATTTAAATTCAAATGAAGAATTTAAACGCAAAGTATAAAAAGCAAACGACCTAACGGCCGGATGATTCATCATTAATTAAAAAGCTGACCCCATGGTCAGACAAAATATTGTTAAACAGCTAAACAACCGAAGACATAAAAAAAATTGTTGTTAAGTGACCCGACCCCATGGTCGGTAAAGAAACAAGGAGATACTCGGCACGCAGGCCGGAAATGCATTCATTATGGCCATACGGCCGCAGAAAAAACTCAGAAACATCTTAATTAGCCCCGGGACCCGACTACTCTTCGTTATCATCCGCCCCTTCCTGCTCATTGGCTGGATGATCGACAGCTTGATCTTTAGCTTGATCCCGATGCTCCCCATCCAAGGCTCCATCCTCCGCCTGCTCCTCCGCCAGAGCCTCCACCTGCTCCTGCTACTCTATCCAAGGCGTCAGTCTCCTGCTCATAATGATACTCCCAGATGGAGTAATCGTCATTAGGAAAAAGAGTCTTCCATGCCATCTGCATTCGAGTGATACAGTCGGCCTCATTCTCCTCTATGAGCTTGCATTTCTCCTCTTCAGCGCGCTTCTCATACTTGGATCTGAGCTGCTCTTCCTGGTTGGCAAGTTTTTTCTATAAGTTCTCGACCTGACGACGGAGACTGGTTGTGTCTCTGTCGATGTTCTGTAACTTGTCAAGCTCCGCCTTGGTTGTCTTCAGCTCCCCCTTGAGCTTCGCCACCTTTTGCTGAGCCGCCTCCAAATCCTTCTTAACCTGCAAGTTGGCAGCCGCCTGAGAATACAGGATATCCCGAGTTAGCAACTCATTCTTGTTTACATCATATTGTACTCTGTTAAGATTGGAGGCGGCCCTAAGGTTGGCAGCTCTTACCTCCTTGGTCTTCTCGTTGAATGGCTTATTGAGCCCATTCACTCGCAGCATAGCCTGCATCCGGAAAAGAGAAAAGGGTCGTTAGCAAAACAAGCGGTCCGAATGAGATTTTAAGTTGAAATATATTAAGTTCTCACCTCAGCGAGAAGAGCAAGGATAGCCTCCAGGTTCATGCTGCCAACTCCCCGGATGGAGTCTCGCTGCTCAGTAGTGACTCCTTTTCGGAGCATTTCCTTAGCAATTTCTCTAAGGTCTGGAGCTTGGGAGGGGGCTTCTGCATAACAAGAATCAAGTTGGGTGTTAAGAGCATATACATCCGTCATGAAAAGAGAAAACAAGACTGGGTGATTGTATGCATGCATCCGGCAAAAGATAGAACAAATTTGGGTGTTACTACACATACGTCCGGCATAGGCAAAATGAAAATGAAATGAAGGTGAAAACTCAAGTACCTGAAATGACAACCAGGTCCTGGACCTGTTTGCTGCGGCGCTTGTCAGGAGAGCCTGCTCCAGCAGACGGCGAATCCTTGGAAGCTTTGGATTCGGACGCCTGATTTAGAGCAGAAAGAGCAGCCGGCGATTTACCACCGGTGGAGGGGTGAGACTCGAAGTTGCTAGCGGATGGCTTGTGCAGTCTTCCGAGAGCGCTTGGGGGGAGTTGGAGCTGCCTCTTCCGCAGTCCGCTTGGGGGGCTTGAGGTTCACCCCAGGGACGACTGGAGGCTTCACTGAGCCCTCCTGTACAACGATTCACAAGTTAGTGAAATTAAGGCTAAGTTAATGAGAAAAGGCCGGATGAAAAAAGGACTTACATGTTCAAGCTGCTCCCGCTTGAAGATCTGATTTTTCTTGTTCATCATCTGGCGGTAGGCGAAGGCAGTGCCGCTTGGCTTCTTGTTTGGGGTAAGCTAAGACATTGCTTCTTCTGCAAAAAGGCCGGATGGGTGGTTAGAAAACAACAATAAAATTCTTTTGCGATAAGTAAAAGCATGCATGATATAACCCCCATCCGTCTACCCACCTCTTCCTTTTTCTAAGCTCAGGCCACAGGTGGCCAAATAGGTCGGGTCTTTGAGCCATTCATATTGGGGGATGTAGCTGTTGAACCTGATTTCCTTCTCAGAACCTCCCTCTACCGCCTGCACTTCTACCTTGAACAACCCAGGGTCAAGGATTTGATCCCAACCTTCTTCAGAAACAGGCGGTATAAGGGCTTTTTGGCCTAAGAGATAAGGGTTCTGGTTCCAAGAATTGAACTTGGCATTCCGGCTAGTGTCTGGGGAAGTGATTATATAGAATTTGTTCCTCTAGTCCTTCCACTTAGACTCCTTCCCAAGTGTCATCATGTACCCCTTATTACTAATAAGGGTATACCAGCCGGGGCCAGCTGACTTAGGGGCTTTGCTTAAGTAGTGCATAGAAGCAAACGCCTCAAAGCCAGGTTCAATGTCCTGCATCCTGCAGGCAGCTACATACCCCAGGATGTTCACCCATGAATTTGGGGTGAGTTGCCACACCCCTAGGCGGTACCCATCTAGGATCGCCTCAATGGCCGGATCCAAAGGAAACCTCAGGCCCGCCTGTATCACTGCGGCATAGCAGCCGAATGCAGTGTTCCTATAGCTTTGGTTAAGGGGCCAGAATACAGCATCCGTCAAAGCTGGCACTTCGACTTCATATCCGGCCCCCATGACATAAGAGTCCCTAAAGTCATTCAACCCCTTCAACATTAATTTCTGGGTGGAAAGGGAAATGTGTGTGAAGTAAGGGGTGTATTCGTCTTGAAGGGAAGAGGACGCCTCACCTTGACCCCTTGTAGGGGAAGCGGGCTCCTCATTGGGTTTTACAGACGGCTCCTATTCAGTTTTGGAGCCACTTGAGTTAGAGGTTGAGGTTGTGAGGGAAAAAGAGTGGGAAGACCCCTGGTCAGATTCAGTTTCTTGATGACCAACCGGCATGCCCAGAAATGAGTCTTCCGGAGTGCTTGGAGTGCTTGGTTTGTCATAATACACCTCGCTCCGAGGCACCCTAATGGAGCCATCCCCCTCTTCAGTTCTAGTTGTTCGTTTAATTCTAGCCATGGTGTCCTGCACAGACACAGAGACGGTTAGACTGGGGGACGGATGAAGAGTGGGGCAAACGGCACCCCTAGTCCTAGATTCAGCCATCTTAGGTGATCGGCTGACAGCTATCCTAGGCCGTGCCGAATGTGTTTGAGAAACCATTTTATGAAAGCAAAGGAAAAACAAAAGCAGGCGAAAATTTTAAAAGTTTAAACAGAAGAGAGCCAGACGGCTACCTTGAGAAAGGTACGGTTGACTTGAAATGAGCCGGTTGGTGCAGACGGACAGTAACAAGCGGAAGAGTACACAATTTTTTGTGAAAATTCTCTAGAAACTCTCTCAAATTTCACGCAAAGATGTGTGAAATGAGGGTCAACAAATTACTTTTATAGAGGGGTAATTCCGGGGCACCTCGGTCATACCCCAGAGGGTGAACAGTAAAATTTTACTTCACCAAATGAGACGCTGACATGTGTCACAGACGCCCCGTGGCGCGCCACGTCACCTCTGTGACAGGGGCAAATGTTTTGGGTAAAATTACCCTGCCACATGGCGGCCTGAGAATAGGACACTTGTCCGCCCAACATTAGGACACTTATCCGCCCAGCATTGGTTTAAATAAAACCAATGGAATACTGACACGTGGACCCCACTGTCATGTCATGGAATGGCGGCTTTCAGGCCCGATTCCCCATAACTCATCATAGCCCACCAAATCTAGGTCACATAACCTAGAATAAGGGCACATTTTCCCATGGCCCTATAAATAGGGAGAGATTCCCCATTATGAAGGGGGATTGAATCATTTATTACATAACCTGCATTTCTCTCACATCAGAGAAAGCACCTGATCTCGGGATCTGTAAAGATCTCATCTTTACCTTTTTCCGCACTTTTTACTCACTCCTACACGTTCTAACTTGATCGTCGGAGGCGGAACTCCAACCAATAGGAGTCTCCGTTGTTTTGCAGGTACGGGCCGCACCGGACCAATCTTCGAGCTGTAACTCTCCCAAGGGACTAAAAACACCCAAAATGGATAAAAATACAATCATGGTACCCTGATTTCTAGCATAAATTTAGCAGCCAAGAAATGACATGCAAATTAGTTCTTATATGTCTAAGAATGGTTTTTCCATTTTAGTTAAGTATCACATTGCAAGTTGTCAGCAAGAAAGTTTATTCTGTAAAAGGTGTAAATTAAATAGGATTCAACAGAAGGACACACAAGCCAACCACCCTAATAATCTAAGGCTCCAATTTATTTTCCACACTGATTTCAATATAAGCCAAAAAAGAAAAAATGAGAGAGACATGAACAAAGAAAGAGCACCTGACTAGAAGTTTGAGTACCTCAGCAAAGAATGAGCACCTCAGCACACCTGACTGCACATAAAATAAAGTCTGGATTAATTTACATATTCTGAGTAGAAAGAATATTTCAACAGTTGGATAAATGTAATTTGGGTCCTGGTGAAAATAAGAATGACCCTTTGAATATTCAACTGCCACTATAATATCAAACCTCGAATAAAATCAACTAGCAACATAGAGGTTCTCTGTTGCATAACACTTTATTTAACCACTGACTTAAAAACAAAAAAATAACACAAGAAATTAAGATAGAAAAATAAAACACTACAATGATAGTTTGTGAAATCCAAAAAATAGGTTTAAATCTATTATAATAATAATTCTAATTAAATTCTCCAGACATGTCACTTTGATGGTTCCATCCAATCCCAATTTGTGTCATCTATATCGAAACTTTCTTCTCGATTATCATCCATAATTTCATTGTTCACAGGAACCTCAACTCTGTCATAAGCAGCTTCTCTGCACCAATTATGATGTTCAGCATGACCTATAGCAAAAATTACATCCTCCGCGGGTTCACGAACTTCACTCATAAACGTTTATCCAGATTGCCCCTCGACATAAAAATAGTCTCTTGGCAAATTTCGGTTCACATAGTACCAATCTTCTTCAAGGTCGTCTTGAGTATAGAACACTTGATGCACTTGTGATGCCAAGACAAAAGGATCATATTTTAGAGCACGATTTCTTGAAGTTAACACGAGTGAGTCCATAATCGTCTACTTCCATATGGAACCAATCACGCTTGAATAACACAACACTGAAAGCACTCCAATAATCTATCTCTATTATAGACCTTATAATCCCATAGTATGTGACATCACCAAGAACGGGATTGTGATCCTTGCTACTCGCGAAGCTTGGAATCAAAGCTGTCAAAGAGACTCCACTATTTTGCGTTTTACACTTTTCATCATGATCTCTTGTGTAGAACTTATATCTATTACAAAAATATCCGATGTAGCTCCGTGCAACACTAGAAGGACCTTTGGTTAGCCACTTGATATGATCTAGGACATTATTCACCTCGACCTTTCCTCTAAACCAAACCTTGAATTCATTGCTATGCTCTTGTGCCTCTTTCCACCTTCTTTTTCGTCTATCTCTAGGCTTCTTCTTTACAAACTCTTCATGTTCCCTTCATAGTATTAAACAACCATATAAGTAAGATAATAAAACAAAAGAAATTCAAACACAACGAAAAAAGATAATCGAAAAATTACTCACTTGATGTAATTCTCAACTAGGTCATCTTCACAATTAAACAACACATAACGATGTGTTAGAGTCATTGTGTTTGAATCAAGAGTGTATGACTTCCCTTTCTTTTTCCCTTTCTTTTTCCTCCCAAGAGGATAACCTGCATTAGGGAACAAAGGTGATTCTTCGTCAATTTCGTTACTTTTCTCTTGACTTTTGTTAAACCGCTTAGATTGCTTCTTTACACTTGCATTTAAATACCTAGAGCAGAATATCAAGCACTCTACAACCAAATAACCTTCAGCTATAGAAGCCTCCGGGCGACATCAATTTTTAACATATGATTTTAACTTTCCAAGGTACCTTTCTATAGGGTACATCCACCAATCAGAAACTGGTCCACCACGCTTTATTTCATCAATTAAATGAATCGGTAAGTGGAACATTATGTCAAAAAAAAAGATGGTGGAAATATTATTTCTAGTTCACAAAGAGTCTCAACAATTTGTGCTTGAAGGCGATCCAAATCTTTTGGATTGATGACTCTTGCATATTTCTCTAAAAAATCCACTCAATCTCATAAGAGGTAAAGCAACATGCTTTGGTAAAGTTTTTCTAATAGCTGATGGAAGCAAGTGTTGCATTATTATATGAGCATCATGACTCTTGTACCCTGATATTTTCCCCTCCTTCACTTGCACACACCTTGCAATATTTGATGCACAACCTTGGGGCAGCTTTGCCTTCTTCAAAACACTACAAAATATGCTTTTCTCTTCCTTCGTCATTGAGAATGATGCTTTGGGCAGCAAAACATACCGCCCGTCACCTGCATCTATAGGGTGTAGTTGTTCCCTTATACCCATTTCTTGCAGATCTAATCGAGCCTTATGATGATCTTTTGATTTTCCATGTATGTCTAACAAATTTTCTAGCACATTATCACATACTTTTTTTCAATGTGCATGACATCCAAATGATGACGACACCCACAATCTTTCCAATAAGGTAAAGTGTGGAAGACGGAGGACTTTCTCCATGGACAATCTACATATTTCTTCTTTGGTTGTAACTTTCCAAACTTGTTTTCCCAATTTTCCAACAATCTTAAAATTTGATCCCCTGTTAAAGGATCTGGAGATGTCTTCTCTTCCTTTTCCCCGTTAAAAGACTTCATATCATACCGCCAAGGATGATTTTCATCTAACCATCGACGATGAGCCCAATAGCAGGATTTGTTGCTATTATTCAAGTGAAGATGATCAGTCTCGTAGTGACAATAGGGGCATGCAAACTTCCCTTTGGTGCTCCAACCAGATAGCATAGCATAACCTGGAAAGTCGATGGTCGTTGATTGTAAAGTTGCACGCATCTTAAATGTTTGACGCTTCTGCGCATCATATGTGTCCAACCCATACTCCCACAAATCTTTAAGTTCTTGAACCAATGGTTGAAGGTAGACATCAATGTCATTTCCAGGAGAGGTGGGCCCAGGAATAAGGAGAGATAACATTAAGAATTCTGGTTTCATACACAACCATGATGGTAAGTTGTAATTAATTATAACAACAGGCCATGTACTATGTTGTGTGCTTGGCCCAAGTGAAAAATGAAAGTGAAAAACCACAAGTGAAAAGCTTGCAAATCAGGGAAATTGCCCAGACACTTTACAACTAATTTCTCTAATGCAATGCAAAACATGCCAAATTTACTTCAAGATTTGTGAAAGATCAAAGTCTCATCTACAAAAAGCATATAGAATGCTAAAATCTAACAGCTAAGAATAATAAATTAGAGCCTTAATTCTAAAAGGATGTGGTCAGATCCATAAACTATGATGTCCTGAAACTTATCAAATTCTAGATTATCTGACAATGCATTTCACAATGTAACATGGTCTAAAAATTGAAGAAGTTAGTAACTTTTTTTAATTCAAACCAGCTAAGGGTACATATTGTATCATTGAAACTATGTTCTAATCCACGTTATTTTATTGGATACTTAAGCAAATCATCAAAAAATAACTTAAACAAATCATCTGAATTGAAGATTAATTGTTAAAGGAAAAAATAAAGGATTATCCAAGCCTCTAAAATTGCAATGGAATTCACGAATACCTCAATAAGTAGAACCCAAACACAGAATAACACTCAAATAATCACATCTTCAGAATTCAGTATATCAGTTTAAAGTGTCTTCAATCAAATACACTATTTAACAAGCTCTGCACAATTTGCATGTAATCTCTCTGAACCTATGTTAATGAATAAATGCTTAATTCCTACAATTATACTAATACAGAGTAAATGCTTAATTGATTCCTACATGATTAAATTATTTCAGAGTTCAATTTAAAAAAAAAAAAATGCATGATTTCTTAGATTCTTGAAATTAATGAATAAGCATTTTATATATTCTTGAAATATGATGAATAAATAAACAAAAAAAAAAATTAAAAACCACTCTCGTAAATCAGATAATACCTTAAATTGGAGCATGATTTTGATGATACCCACAACTTCAAGGAAACGAATGATTTCCCTGATGAAATTGCGCTACACGATCAAGGATTCAATTGATTTTTCTGATGAAATTGCGCTAATCAACAAACTAGGTTAGAGAATTTCGTTCCTCCTGTGAAGAGGATGAAATACAACTTTTGATTTTGTTTGGCGGTTTCAGAATCAATTTTGCCCCAATTTTTTTTTTATAATTTCCTTTGGCGCTAATAGTATTAACCTAGCTTTTTTTTTTTTAATTTGGAAAGATAGTATTAACCTAGCTAGATGAATGAAATTTTTTCCCTCAAAATAAAAAAAATAATAAAAAAAAAAGATGAACGAAATTGTTAAACTTATGTTTCAAAAAAAAAAATTGTTAAACTTAGGAATTAACACTACCTTTTTTTAATTGAAATTTTAATCTAAATTATTTTTTTCCCAAAAACACAAGGTAACACCTGTTAATGTTCACAAACTTTAAAAAAAAAATCGGGTGTACAATAATTATTGTACATCCACTATAAAGATAGACTAAATTGATCAAAAGTTACCCCTAAAATAAATAAAATTTACCCTAATATGCATAAAAGTAATCCAATACAAATAAAAATTATTAGTAAAGAATCACATTTTAAATGACTAAAAATCAATTATTAGTGATTGAATGTAATTAAATTACCATTATAAAACTTTTCTTATTGTCTATTTATATAAAAATTGTATTATGTTTAAATTTACCCAAAAAAAGGCAAAAAATTACCCTAAAATTAGTTAAAAGTTACCCTTATACTGCTCGATGTACAGTAATATTAGTGTAAACCGAGTGTATACAAGAGTTTTTTGTTAATGTTACCACAAAATGTTACTTAGTATGAAAGTGTTACTTTATAATGTTACTTATGTTAAAAGTGTTACATTGAGTTTTACATCCTAAAAAAGTGTTACCAAAGTGTTACTTATAAATCTAGTAATCTTTTCTATCAAAAAGTGTTACCAAGACGTGATACATAAAGTCAATTATGTACTAGTGTTGAAAGTAGAGAAGAATAGAATAAGGTATATTAAAAATATTACACTCCAATTGATGTTCATAAATTTGCCCGATAATAATTACTTCAGTATACTTTTTTTTATTTGTTTTTACTTAAAATTTTTTAAATATTTGGCTAGCTTTTAAAATCTAAAACTAATACTAAAGAAGCAATCACTGACATCATCACTCTCTCCAAATTGTACACGTGTTGCTTTCTCATGGAAAATTTTCCGCCAAACTACATTGATGATGTCATTTTAAAAATATTTTTATACTTAATTAATAGGGTTTTGATTTTTGATGAGGAATTTTATGGTTGGTGTGTTTGAATTGAATTGTGATCCTTAAACTTGGTGATCAAAAAGTTTGTATGTTGTTCCCTAAACTACTAATATATATTTGTTTTAACCTATATTAGGGTTAGTAGTTTGAGTTCTAACTGAAGCGATGTTTCTAGGTATTAGATGAATTTGGATCTCAAATCGGCAAGATTTTATTTGGGTGAATTTTGGTTTATAATATAATTTTTTTTTTGAAGTTTAAAAATAAAATCTAATAATGGAGATTAAATCTTATTGCCTAAATTGAGCTAATTCCTCGTACTAACGAATTTCTATTCCTTCAACTTTGAACTTTTTGAATAGTCCACTTTTTGTTTTATTTTTTATTAAGACAAATGCTCCTCAAATTTTCAATTTTGTGGGTTAATATATTTGACTTATTGTCTTTTTTTTGTTTTTTTTTTTTTTTTTTTTTTTTTTTTTTTTTTTTTTTTTGTTGTTGGTAGTATGTTTGAATTTTATAATGTCTTAGAAAATTTTAATACTTATAGAAAATTTTAATACTTATAGAAAATTTAAACAATTATAGAAATTTCACATAAATTTATTATATCCGTGCATTGCACGAAAGCTAATCTATCTATCTATAACTATACTAAAACAGAGGCGCTTAACACAGAAGCTACACGTATCACCTTGGCATTAAAAGTTTTCCCACTCTTTTCCGCTATTCTATAAGTATATTTTTTATACGTATTACGCATAATATATTTTTTTATTCACTAAATCTATTAAAACCTTCTCTTTCTTATACATATTACGCATAATATATTTTTTTTATTTTTTTTGAGGGAAATATTACGCATAATATCAAAAAATATCAAAGTCTGTATATAATATTTTGATCTTATAAATGTTATGCATAATTTTGGAAAGTATATACTACAAAATCATTAATTGATCTTACATAATATTTTTTATCAAATAATATATGGAAAATTTATTGATCCTATATAGAACTTTAAGAACCCATGAAACTGAAATACTCATTTATAAAATATTTTTTGCAAATAAAAAAAAGTTTTATACTCAATTTATTATATCTTTCAATACTAATATAATATTTTGAAACTGCAATACTCCTTTATAGAATATATTTTGTCAAATAAAATATAAAACTCAACTAATTAGGGCTTTTTGTTAGAAACTACCTATTAAAAGTCATTTTTTTTGTGAGAAACTACCTAATTAAAAAAAAAATTGTAAGAAACTACCTATTAAAATGAAAATATTGTAAAAGGTTATCCTTTCACCGAGTTTTCACCGTTGTCTAATTTTTCCGGCGTTGACCACCTACTTGCCAATCACGTGAAGTTTTAAAACCTTTAATTTTCACGCCCCACTAACAATGCCACCTATCATGTGACCGGCCGAGCATGGTCAATGCCGAAGAAATTAGTCAAGACGAAAAATTCGACGAATAATAGCTTTTTTACAACATTATT